GAAAAAAATATAAGAATAATTCAACATTTTATTATGATCATAACTCATAATAATAAAACAATAATATGGTGATTGTGGAATGAGTTACAACTTCATTATTATATATTATTATTATTTCTTAAAAACCGCCATTACACTGGTATCATTTCTGATGATCATGGTCAATTTCGCCATATCCAGTATTGCCTATGGGTTTTGATTGGTCAGAAACCACGGTGTATCTAGGTTAGCCACTCAGCATAGAACATGACCTATTGCTAATCAGAAATCGTAATGGTCTCCCAAATTAGCCAATCAGCTTAAAAAATAAGTCAATTGAATGATACAAAATGTTAAGTGTTTTCATTGGTCAAATGACTAACCTTAACACAATCTAAAATCACAATGGTCTCCAAGGTCAGTCAATCAGCCCAGAGGGTCAGCCATTTGCATTGATCTGAGGCACAACACAAATACTGGAATGGGAATTGACTCTTACAAAAATGATTCCTTATAGATAACCCTTCATTGTAAAAGCCAATTTTGTTAACCAAAATCAAAATTTAAATAAACTACCAATAAAATTTGTGAAGCAATCAAAAATCTGTGATAAATAAAATAAAAAGCAAAGAAACAAAATATACAAAAGCAAAATGTACAAATTCATAATGGGCTGAAAAAAAAAATGAAATTTACATAATGCACAATTTTCATTCATGATTTTCAATTTCATCGAAAATTAACCATTAAAAGAATATTGAACTTTTCTTGTAGCAATTTTCACATGTCCAATTTATTTTCACATAAACTACAAAATCATAATAAATACTGGTAGAAAACATGTTGTATACTGCATGACCTTGAGTTTATAATTCATTTTTTGGTTAAAAGTGAACTTTTTCACCCAAAATATGTTGCTTAGTTTAAATTGATAGGCTAATACATCTTAGAATGAACAGTTCTCAAGAATGTTCAATATGAGTATATATTCATCAGTGAACTTACCTGATGTCATAAAGTTACAACAGAATCCTTGTAAAATCTGGAAAATTCATAAAACTAAGTAATTATTGAAAAATCCTTAATATTAATGGTATTAATATTAAGCATTTTTCACTAGTTAATTGCATATTTATGGATAATTACTAAGATTTTTGAATTTATCGGATTATATAAGGATACTTTTATGTTATTTATAACACCAGGTATATCTACTAATATATGAACTTATTGGCCAAGTTTAAAATTCTTCAATTTTATGTTCATTATGACGTAGTTTTCCTTTAACAAAATCTAAAAGTTAAACATTTTTTTCACCATAATTTTTTTATTTTTATTGCAGTTTTATTACATATTAGTGATTTAACTTTTCAAACTGGGATATCCCCTTTAACTTTAATAAAGTGTGTCAGTGTGACATGACCTGTACTTAATATACTCTTCAAGGACACCAATGACGTGACTGGATTACACATTCTAAGAAATGTGATGTCATTTAGTTAAAGAAAATCTCAGTACTTCTCCTGATACTTAATTCTCTAGAAATAAACAGTGGCTGTATATCCTGTTTTTAACTAGGTTTTGACCTATGTATATAATTACCAGCAAAATGATATATTGACAATGACAAAGGGAATTTTTTTTTTCACAAGTTGGGATCTCAGCTGTAGATTTGTTTAACCTTGGAGTAATTAATAAAACTTTTAAAAAAAACTTTTGGACTAATTCCAATTTATCAAGTCATAACTTGTATTACTGAGCTAAAACATCTATTTCTGACATTTCAACTGCCATTAGTAGGCCAACATTTCTATTTGGGGGATAAAAATTCTTCATTTATATTTCTTATTCTGTCAAAAATTTTCAGTCTAAAATTCTATTAATAATTAGCAAAAAATCCAGTTATTAGTTTATGAATACCATAATTAAGCATTGATCAGAAAAAAACTAAATTAGGCATATATGATTGAAAAAAAGCGCCTATAAAGAACCATTCAAATTATCATAATAAAATGGCTTTTAGAATGAGTGGCTTTTAGATAATCTAGTGATGTAGCTTTAATGAATGTTTATATAGTATTCAACATGATCCAATTTAATTCAATAACCAAACACAATTTGAAAGTGATGGTAAAGAGGTTTTCTAAATTTGTTTACGTGTATCAGGGATACTTAAAGCATCAATCTGCACCATTCCAATTTTCAATCAGATATCTGTGGTTCCTGCAAGTGGTCTAAAATGAAGTGTTTGATGACTTCTCAAAATCACATCGCCCTTGGCAATTAGAGACGTCATCGAACACTTAGTTTTAGTGGATTTGCAGGAACCACAGGTATCTGATTAAAAATTGGAATGGTGTAAATTGATGCTATCAATGTCCCTGTTATCCATAAAAATTTAATTAAACCTTTTTACAACCACTTTAAAACATTCTTTTCCTGGTTTATTGTACACACGATTTCAACAAATTACATTGTTAGTTACGCCTGATGCAATCATGTTCTCAATTATAGAGCAATAATTAGTATACCATAAAATTGTGTTTCATTATTGACTGTGAACGCAATGAGTCACACATGAACTAACAAGCTCTAAATACTACTTTATTTATAATAAACACCCATCATATACACTAGATCTATCATACTTAAAATCACAATATTCCAGAGGAGCTAAAAAAAACAACTTCATCTAAAAACATGGAAATACCAAAAACATGGCTCAATCTTTTATGAAAGGATTAGACCACCCGTCAGTGAAAGATTAAACCACATAAAAGATTGCATTTTATCAAAATCCTACAGGTGACTATTGTTGTACATTTCATTTTACAATAATTTTTTAAAAATTTAGCATTCAGAAAAACATTTTGAGCAATTAGTGCTCTAATTTTGAATTTTTTTTCATTCATCTTTCCTTGATTTTCAGCTAAAACATAATTTTTTTTATGACAAAACTATGACCTATAATACCTTTAATTTAACAGCTTATAATTAGTATATATATACATATTGTCATACAGTAAAACCCCTGTAAACCACATCTCTTATAAACCATCATATACATGAAAAGTCTTAGCTGAATATGGATCAGGCCCTGAAGATGCTTATAGTTAATTAAAAGATAGCTTGCAAAGTAATATATGCCAACTAGTAGGTTTGATTTTAAATAACAATATTTGGCAGTATGGTATAATTCTTTCATTTTCATTCTAAAAAGTAAGTCTAGTAACTAAGTTTCAGTTAGGATTCAATAATTAAGACAATTTTATTCCTTTTAATGTGGAAAATTCACAGATTTTGCCATTTATAATCACAGCCTTATTGAAACTTGCATTACTTCTTCATAGGTTTAATGAACACAACCTTTTCAAAACAACTTAAGATGCAAATCTTATATGTGCAAATTGTCAAAATTCAGAATTCAGTTATAAATTACGAAAATTTAAAATTCAGTTATAAATTGCCAAAATTCAGAATTCAGTTATAAATTACCAAAATTCATATGGATGCAGACATAAATTGCCAAATTCAGCTTTATATCTATAACAGTCACATATTAAAATCAACATATCTCTTGAAATATTTTGTACAATATCTAAATTAAATGATTCTTATCCATCTTAGTTTTACGATATTCCCAGTTCTGTCTGATGAACCAATATTTCATATCTGACATCAGACACACCCTGTATGATCCAGACAGACCAAGTCTGAAACCAGACAGACCAAGTCTGAAACCAGACAGACCATGTCTGACACCAGACAGACCATGTCTGACACCAGACACACCCTTTATGATCCAGACACACCAAGTCTGAAACCAGACACACCATTCCGACACCATGTCAGGCCATGTCTGACACCAGTCACACCATGTCTGCATGAAATGAAAACCCGTCCATGAACTAAGCACAAAAACACATGAGAATGATAATGGGCAAGCACTTTTTGAGTTTTCTTGTGTATATTGTATAACTTTTCATAATGTTTTCAAGCCCCTTTCCTTAAAAAATGTGACATCGATATTAATATTTTGGCAATAATTGCACTAAGTTAAATAAGGAGTATCTATTTGTAATCTATATATATATAATTAATGTAATATCTAGAATCTATACAATGTGTACATCTATAATATAAATAACAACAATAGTCTATAGATAAGCTAAGATAATTGTGCACATCCAGGCAAGATTCAAAATCAGCTGTTCACTTAATTTTCAGGCAGGCCTACCTGCAGTTATGTGCAATAAATTTGGCTTGTATAGTTTCAATTTCTTTTTATTGACTTCAAGACAAAGTTGTCTTCTCATGAGCATGTTTGAATTGAGTCTGGATGTTCACAAATATCCCTGCTCTGCAATACATTTTTCATCTTGACTCTCTCAACTGGCCTTGCTTGGCTATAACACTAAACCATTTCAAAGAATGCACAGATTGCTTACTAATTCCAATAACCAAATAAATCTTAGGACCAATTTGTTTTTATCCTTATTCTAATTTTACACATTTAAATAGTTCAAAATTCAACACATGTACGAAAATTAGATTTAGTTCAAAAATCTATTACGATATTTTTGTAGAAAATGGGTTCAGCTTGGAAGTTAAAATTCCCTCTGTAATGTAGTGTATTTTGGTAGAACATTATTATTGGATAAGACAAAACTGTCACAAGACCAAGGAAGGCAGTATGAAAGAGCCAAACAGAAGACCCAAACAGTCTGGATGAAAACAGGCTACATATTAGGGCTCTAACATCAGGTTCTGGTCAAAAATATCATCAGAATGGGGTCATAAAAATTCATTTTTCAGGTTTAGACCAATTGAAAATTGGTTACAGTCTGACATTTCAGAGTATAGTCTTAAAATATGAAATATTCACTAAATTTGATGACCTTTTAAGCATTTCTCAAATTAGTCATTTCAAGTTATGAGCCAGTCATGACCTGTGTAAAATGTCTGTATCAAGACCCCTGCTACACACATGTATTATGTTAATCTAAAAATATCTCTAACCACTAGTATAACGATTTCATTCCTTCACTTTCAAATTGGGCCCATGCATCATTTAATTCCATAAAAATGAGTTTAGCCAACGCCTCAAATTCAGACCCAGCCAACTGAAAGTTAAACAAATTATTTATGTTAAACAACTATTTTCTACTATTGTAAGGTTTTAAGCAGACACACTTTGTAAGATTAAATCAATGTATGTTTTCATTTCAAATAAGTTAAGCTCGCAATCTAATTAAAATTAAATTTTTTTTTATTGTTCATTGTAATCTAACAAGTTTTCTACAAAAGGTCCATCAAAAAGATAAATAGTATTTGTGACCAATCAAAGCCTGTCATTTAGAATATAAAATAAGGAATTGTGGAATAGCAAACTTAAAGTAAAGTTATAGTACAACAGCCTCATTGAGTTTCGCTATCCCACAATTCCTTATCTTAAAAAGAAACTTGTTCTACATGACACACTTTGATTGGTTAAAAATACTATCTTTGTAACGAACCTTTGGCAAGAAAGATTGTTAGATTTTAATTGTAATCCAATTTTAATCACACGTATTTGTTGAGGCATGTAAGCAGTCAGTCAAAAATTTATTTTGGATATCATTGTAATATACTACCAGTAAGCTTATATACGATTTTCATGAATTGACTTGATATCATAATTTTTTTTGTAGAATTCCCAAAACTGCAAAATGGAAAATGAACTACCAATTGTTAAAGCGCTTAAACAAAAACAAAAATTTAGAAAACCTCTTTACAATCTCTTTAAGATACGTATGCATTAAAAATATATTAGGAACATACCTTATCTGGATGAACTGATAATACTGCTTTTCTATAGACTTTTTTCACTTGATCAGCTGAGACTAACTGGTGCATGCCCACTTCTTTCCAACGTGTTTCCTCATCCCATAAAACTTTATGTAATGATGATAATAATGCTCGAATATTTTTCTCTTTACCTTGAGTCCAGTCTCTTACCTACAATAACAAAATAGTAGGTTTTCAATCCAGTTATAACAACCTTCAATAATAACATGAGACATTCAATAATAACATAAGATATTTAATAATAACATAAGACCTTTAATAATAACATAAGAACTTCAATAAAAACATAAGACCTTTTATAATAACATAAGAACTTAAGTAGTAACATAAGAACTTCAATAAAAACATAAGACCTTTTATAATAACATAAGAACTTTAGTAGTAACATAAGATTTTTAGTAATAACATAAAACCTTTAATTACAGCATAAAACCTTTATAGTTATATAGATCTTCAGTAAAAACATTTGACTTTCGTGAGTAACATTAGACCATTATAAGTAACATGATACTTACTTTTAGTTTATCAGGGTCCATTTCTTCAACTTCTTGTTCCCTTCTCATTTCAGCTATTGTTTTAGGCTCAGATTTTTTGGTAAAATTCACTCCGCCTAACAAATCATCAAATGCATTTTCATCTACTTTCTTTTTGGGACCTGCAAAAAACAAAATATATGCAAGATTATGGTTCAGACTTCATGGCCATGGACTCAAGATTTGGTAGAGGTGAAAGAGAATTCATATGAAAAGAAACCCTCAAAATCACTGTGGTGGATGAAAATTACATATGAGCGTAAGTGTTTGATGTATTTCCTTCAATATTCAATGTAATTGTATCCCCAATCTGCTTTATATCATATCACAATGTCCTCACAAAGGGAGATATACCATCCTTCTTTTTAAATGTACATCAATTCTTAAAAATAACGGAGCTCAAAAGAGTAAGCAAATCAGATGAAGAATGAACAGAAGAGGTTTTGGCAGGTAAAAATATAATGAACGAAAACCAATAACATACCGAAATGAGATCTGGTACCACGTTCCTCTCTACCACCTATAACACTACTATAATTAGATTTAGATGGCTGTCTTTGAGGACTAGCTGATGGTGTTGGTGAGTTTCTCTGTGGCTGCCATCCACCTGCAAATTCAATGTACATATAATATGTTAACAAATTTCCATTAAAAAGACAGTATGCCAAACCTTCATCATTCAAACCTTGGTAAATTATATGTGAAAAGTTTTCTGAAATATGTGAACATGTGCTATTAAATATAGCTTTTGTTTGAAAATTGTTGTTATATATATACTTACTTCCCATGCCTCCTAAATTATTGGAACTGTTAGAAGGTTGTTGCCATGACATGCCACTTCCAGCAGGTTTATTGGTTTGTTTAGATGGGGCAGGAGGTATGTTAAAAGCACTACCAGGTTTTTTACTTCCAATATTACCTACAGTAACAAATCACATGACATTTAGGATTGAACTCAATATTTGGAATGGCAGAGTATTAGCACCTTGATTCCTTTAGGGTGTTCACATCAATTCACCCCTTGATCCTTGCTGACATTATTGTCACTTAAGAGTTAATACTCATGACCCATCTTAAGTCTTGCCTACATCATTAATCATTCAGATCTTTTGATCATGTTGGAATGGAATATGTACAACAATAAGCAGCATTTTAAAATGTAAAGAAGAATTTGAAAACAAGTTTGCCAACAATATTAATGCCAATAAAAAGCCTATGTACAGTAGCTCAAAATATCAACAATTAAATAATAGTAATGTATACAACTGAATTGTCTTTTTATTAGAAAAGTACCCGTGGGTCACTGAGCTATAAATAGTAACACGTGGCACATGTTAAAAAATGTCGAAATTTTGAGTACTCAGACACTCTCGCTAATCCAACATTGGTTTGCAGTCTCAGTGTATGATGGATTATGCATAGTATATTGTAGTAGGTAAATTGCAATTACCCATTTAGGCTGAGGTGTTCTTTGGGTCACAAACAGAATTGGGAAGACTAAAGGTATTATTTTCTGTTTGAAAATAAATACTAACCAAATTCTGCAAAAGGATCAGCTTTGGAATCTTGACCAAATGCACCATTACCAGATGGTTTGGGTCGTGGAACGCTGGTTCTGTTTGATGCCCCGCTCTTTGTAATATTGCTTGCATCCCAATTACCCATCAGATTATCACTGTCAGGGACTGAAGGCGGCACTGGAATATCTTTAGAACCTTCCATCAATCTGAAGAACTCAGCATCTTCATCTTCTTCTTTGCCATTTTGATTTGTTGATGTTGAGCTACCTTGGAATGGATCTGGTTGGGTCACAGGCGCACCAGTAAATGGAGCATTTTGGAATGGATCTTCCTCTTTCTTAGTTGATTTTGAGGAACTCTCGAAAGGATCAAATGTAGCGTTTCCAAAATTATCATCAAATTGAGATGTTTGCACTGATGGCGATGGCGATTTGAAGTCTTGAAATGGATCAAAGGGACTAGGGGTAGCTTTATTACTACTATTGTTCGAACCACCACCTTTGGCTTTTGGGGCAGGGGCTTGACTAAAGACATCAAAATCACCAAAATTATTGGGTTGATTGGCTTTCTTAGTAGTGGTGGTAGATTTATTGTCTTTTGTAATTCCAAATGGATCAAAATCTGATGATTGTGAGTCCAAATTAAGTAAGTCAACTTTGTCTGTCACATTGTTGGTACTTTGTGTGTTCATGTTTAACAAATCTACATCCTCCTGATTGGAGCCATTTTGTTTTTCAGGTTGCACATTATCGGAATTATCACATTTATTATTAATTTGTCCTGAGCTGGCACGAGACAAGGCCGTAAAACCATCCTCTTCCTCATCAGAGACTAGTAAACCTTGTCTAGATTCCTTATCTTTCACTGTCGTCTGCTCTTGGTTAGATTCCGAGGTCCAGTCCAAGTCACTAAAAAAGTTATTAGAGCCAGAATTTGCATCAGATTTTGTGGCAGATTGAGACTGCTTGTTGTCAGCCATATGTTGTGGACTATTATCAACTGAATTTAAACTTGATGACTGACTTAGTCTGACTTTGGCTTTATCAGACATACCTGAAAATAGAAAGAAACAAAAATAGTCATAAGGTTAATGCCTTGCAGTGTGCATGAGGGACAACTATTTATGTGAATCACTGTTCAACTGATTGCATCAATTTGCACAATTCCGTCTTTCTGCAATTACACTAAAACTAAGTGTTATATGAAATAGTTATTGCTAAGGATTTAGATGTTTTGGAACCACAGACATGACAGAAACTTGAAATGATAAAAAGAGAAGCCATAAATGGTTTTGATACTCCTAAAATAACCTTCGGAAAAAACCTACCAAATTCAGATATTGCTTCATGTACTTCTTCTTTACTGGAGAAGAGAATTTTAGGTCCTAATTTTTCACGATCAAATTTTTCCCAAGGCGGTCTGGATTCACTTGTTAATGTCTTTTTATTAGTTAATACTTGAACATTTAGTTTTACATGAAACATGTCAGGATATTTATCAGGAGTATCTAACTGGTCTAAATCATACCTAAAAACAAAAAGATAGATTCATCAAATCAAAATTTTACAAGAATATAGGGGGCTCTTGTCTTAAAGGGGCATTTTGATTTTTTTAGTAAGTTGGGCAAAATAAATGCCAAGTTAAAGAGAAATATAGAAAAAATGAAATGAATGGAGTTTTACGTCCTACTTTTCTGCACCATGTGGTCTAATAAAGACGGGCATGCAGGTTGCAATGAGGGGAATTTTTCCAGGACAGCGGCATAAGCCTGCTCTTTTTCAATTTCCAACTGTCGAGGGATCTTTAACGTGCACAGTCTGTAGCAGACGGGTCCTCGGTTTAATGTCCCATCCGAACGACTAGACCCTTTTTCCATGTCAGCCCCTCTTACCTGCATCGCTGACAGGGGGGAACAAAGAGAAATATAGAGATATTCAGATATTCTGAAAGTTTCAACTAAAAATATAGAGTTGTTAATGCTCAACACTAAAACTATTTTTACAGCATACTTAACAATTCTCTGAAGTTTAATAAACTATGTATAGAGCCAAATTATATACTTACAATGTATATTTGATAATTTCTGTTTCTGGTTTAATAAAACCAGTATGAAACTGGATTTGAAACATTTTCATAGATGTAATCTGAAATAAATAACCATAAATTTAAAATGTCCCAAAAAATTGACAAGCTGTATCGACGTCGAATCAAAACAGCTTGCATAACTAATTTTTTTTTCTCTCTTGATAACGCTGCCTGTAGGAGCATGTGAAACCAAACTAAAATACGATTTAAACTAGTTATACCTTGCCCTGTATTTTCCCACCAAAAGTTGATCTAGCATGATAAACTACAATAGTAACATCACCACTAACAGTAACATCTAAATTTAACTTGGCTCTACCATCTTCTATTACAAATTGTCTGCAAAATTAAAAAACAAATCACTGATTAAAACACATATCGTGGGTGAACGCTTGAAACCTCGTATAATGATGACATGAAATTACTTTCGAGAAAAACGTAAAAAACTATTTGCAAGCATATTTTGTTAAAAAATCTATTTTATTACATTTTTTACCGCTATACGTGGTTTTCATTCTTTGAAAATTGTGACCAAAAAATATTAAATTTAAAGAGAATTCAACATAAAAATAAATATAACTTACTTCATTCTTTCATATTCTTGAGAGGAAGACATAACTCTTTCTTCACCCACAAACACTTCAGCAAACGGTGTCACACCATTCCTACAATCAAAAAATTTGTTAGATCTGGTTCTATCTCATCTGTATATCACATCTTAGGAACAGTTAGGGCCAGATTTATTGGGCTATATGACAATAATTTTGCCTTTTTTTTTTATTGGATTTGAAGCCAAAAGAAACATCTTCAGTAAGAATTCTTATGTCTTCTGAACCTATGTATTTGAAATACAGATTTGCGTATGCCATCACTTTGGTATTTAATATTGACCATTGGTTGTTCAGCTTTTAGTACAATAATTTTGAATGATAATTTTTGAGGTTTCTGTTAGTTGAAATAGGACTTACTTCATTTTATTAAACAACGGTACCGGAGTCATGACTATACTATCTAATACTATGGGATAAGAATGGGGTATAACTGGATTTTCTAACACCATTTCACTAATATAACCTATATATCTGAAATAACAAATTATAACCATCAAATAACAAATTATAACCATCAAATAACAAAACATAACCATTTACCGTAATAACAAATCATAACCATTTAATAACAAATCATAACCATTTAATAACAAATCATAACCACAAATCATAAAAACATAACTATTAAATAACAAATCATAACTATCAAATAACAAATCATAACCAGCAAATAACAAATCATAACCAGCAAATAACAAATCATAACCATTAAATAACATCATTGTTATATACTTATATCAATATTAACTTTTTGAAGAGATGACAATATTAGCTGGTCTCTTGGTCATAGAGTGGCATTAGGTGTTCAAATCAGCCACATCATAGTGGACTGAACTTTGGGGTTTAAAGCTGATATACCTGATAAAATCAATAACTCTCAAATTTTTTGAAGAGATTAACATAATTTCAAGGGCATAAGATTTGCATAAAAATTACCTTTTTTGTGCTGGAGAGACCCCTGGTGGTGAGCGTCTGGATGTAAACATGTGCATAGCAGACGTATGTTTTTCAAACAGACGACAAAATACCAAGAAAGCTCCTACCACAGTAGCAGAGTTAGATCTCCCATCCTAGAATTAAAAAAAAAAACAAACATCAGCTTTTTTTTTTCTTTAAACATGGACAGTTAAAGAAGTACATAAGAAAGAATGTAAAAATGGAATGATGCAAATAGAAGCCATAAATGACCAGCTCTACCATACATTTGAAAATTGCAATTAGATTGAAATATTTGAGAACTCAAAGTCAAGGTCACCAACAAAAACAACAGGATTTGCAAATTCTAATTGAAAAATGAAATGCAATGGAGTTTTACGTCCTACTTTTCTGCACCATGTGGGCTAATGAATACAGACAACACCATGCAGGGTACAATGAGGAAAATTTTGCCAGGACAGCGGCATTAGTCTACTCTTTTTTTGATTTCCAACTGTCGAAGGATCTTTAACATGCAAGCGTCTAACTCACTGAGCCACCGCGGCTCCCTCTCAGAGAAAAGAACAATTAACAACCAATAAAAGATTGAATATAACTTACTGTGCAATGAACAACACATATATTTTTAGGATTTTGCCGTAACCATAGATGCATATTTTTACAGATAGCAAATAAACTAGCTAAGGTTGGCGCTTTTCTTTGAGGCCAGCCACACTCAGATACCTAAAAAATTAAATGTCTAAAGCTTAGAAAATTATTCCATAATAAGTATACAATATTTAAATGTACAATGTACACAAGTACATGTGTATTAGATGGACAGATTATGTTACTGTACAGTACATAACCACAAGATGTACCATTTTTGGAGGCTGATTTGAGCCTTGAATATAAGTGATTATTCTTCAGTACATGTACTGTACAGAAATCAATATTTTTTTCTTTCACTTTCTTTCTCTGCCTAAAAATTGGGTTACCGAAAATTGTTTGTCCTCTTGATAAGGTCTATATAGGGTATACAGTGGACAGGATTATCCAGTTCATAATCATTCTACATTAAAGCTTACAAAAATACAATGGAAGGGATAATACATGTATGTATTTGCTTTACAAGCTACAAGAGAATCAAAACCCAATATCCACATCACTCTCAGTTCAAATATGTCACAACCTTATTTCCTGATGATGGACCAATTACACATGTGCCAGCAGGAGCACATGAGCATTAAGCTATATTCATAATCAATGGACACTTACCCTGTTCTCAAAACAACCGACACGATATGATCTTTGTGATAAATTATAAACAGCGTAACAGTTTTTATGTTTAGCTTCTAGAAAGGTTCGTACATCTTCTATGTGGTTTTTGACGGCTGATTCTACGCCTTCAGCAGGGAATGACATAACTAAAACAAAAATATTACAATCAATCATTTAGTAATATCACTTTTTCGATTGTTGTTAGTGTTTTAGAAAAGTCCTAGATGCCCATTCTGTCATGTAGTTGTTTACCTTCGTAAGTCCACCTTTAATATACAATTTCCGTCCCCAGACCTAGGTGCCATCAATGATCTAACGATATTGTTATGCATCTCTGGTTTTGGGCAATATTCAATCAATTTAATCGTGTGTTTAATTCTGGGATATTTATCGATGCTATTTTCTGTAAAGCCACAGACTTGGGTGCAACCCATAGAACTCAAAATAAGTCAAATAAAGTCAAAATAAGCTTACCTATAAGCCTAGACGTTATATATGATATATCTAAATCACCTTTATTCATAGTCCTACAAAATATAAGACAATATTTCATTTTCTTGATAAACCTAATATCCTTGAGTATATTGAGTAAATGTGAAGATGTTTCCATCTGAAAACAATGCTACATTCATTACCTCTGAGAAGTTGTAAATTAAGTAGGAACTATTAAAAACCACTCTTATATTTGTACATATATGGAATTGATATACATCTACAGTAAACTTGACTTCATTTGCATTTCACTGTCTCATAAAGGTTAGGTCGAGCGAATGGCGGTTGTGGGTTCCGAACTTGATTGGTGTGTGATAGTCCAATGAAAATAAGTCATCTTCACTCATAATTCCAGTTGACCCAGCTGTAAATATCCGGGTAACCAATACAACATAGCAAAAGTCACAATTTTAGAAAAGGACTTACGCAGAAACTGTTTCCATAACTTTACTAGAAGCATCTTTAATATTCTTCATCAAGTTTCCTGCCCCTCCTCGTAGAGAATTAAAGAGACCTTGACCTTGGTTAAACATGTCTGAAGATTGTTGTTGCTGTTGTTGTTGGCTGTTGGTACTGTTGTTGTTGTTGTTGTTGCTGTTGTTGTTGTGGGGGTGCTGCTGGGTTATTGGACCGGCTACTATTGTTATTCACCACACTAGGTGCTGGTCGACGTTCTGGTATTTCACTTTGGTTAGGTGCTACAGAAGTAAATATACCTCGATAAATACAGGTAACTCAAAAGGCATTTTATAGTCTACTGAGTTGAAAAACCCAGTCGATAATAGCATTAGGTGTGCAAGATAGGTGAGCATGCCTTTGATTAACCACACCCTTCACAGTAATATTTGAATAATGGACTAACTGCAGCTGATAAAAGGTAATTCTACTACATTGGTCAGGAAACAAACTGAATGACCAGGCAAGATTGGGACATTCACTTAACTTTGTTTACTTACCAGGTTTGTTGACAGCAGAATCATCAAATCGTAAAGGATTTTTTATATTCACATTTCTAGCATTGGCTATATCATTTAATCTATCTAATATATCATTTATATTTGGTCTAGTAGTGGGGTCCACTCTTAACATACAACCTGTGAATGAATGATAACAACTGTTAAATTATGCCAATTAAAAGGAGTTTTTTTTTAAAGATGGGTTCCCTTATTTTCATTTATGAAAATGAAAATGCTAATAATTATATGAATAGAAAGTAGAAGTGTTCTAATGACTTGGAAAAATACCAGTTTGTTTTATATTCCATAATCAATTCATAAATTAGAAGAGAATTACCGACAGAATAAAACTTAAAAGCATCACTGAACTGGGTTGAAAATTTGAGGGTTAAATCCCAAACTGCTAGCTTAAACGAGCCACCCCAACTCTCTAGTGAAGATCTAAACTTACGTATAAGATCATGAAATATGCTATATTTTCTATCACTTTCTGGAATGGTATAGTTTGCATTAATAATACGTAATTTGGCTGAATCTTCAAATGGATGCTCTCTAAAACACAGTGTAAATAATATACAACCTAAAGCCTGAAAAAGACAAAAATATTGTATTAATGAACAAAATTTTGGCAGAAAAAAGAAAGAAATAAAGACCTGCAAAAAAGAAATTTTACAAGGATAATAACTTAGGTTCACAGTTAAGTATCCTTTCTACAAGCTAGTCCTTAGCCAAAAGTCTTGGCATTGATCTTTCCTGGATTATCTGTACCCATTTACAGCTGGGTCGACTGGAATTATGATTGAAGATGACTTATTCAAGGTCATCAGACTATCACATGCCAATCGAGATCATAACCCACAGCCACCATTCCCTCACGTTACCTTAACATCTTTTGACTACTTTTTGGAATACTCTTTACCTATTGTCCGAAATACTATGAAAAAAGACTTATTCTAAACCACTGAAATTTAAAACCGCGGCAACCATTATTCCAACACACTCAAGCATTTGACTTCAGCCTAACAGCACTCTAACCAAATGGGCTACAGTCTGTTTTCAGAATTAGAAATCAGATGTCAAAGAATTCTAACTTACCCATATATCTCCACGTTCATCTATAGGATAATTCTGATATAAATCTAACATTTCAGGTGCTCTGTACATAGGGGTAGTATTTTTAGCAATCTGAAATCAAGACAAACAAGGTCCAGAATAAAACTTGATGCTTGAAAGGCAGGTAATGCTTATCAGGTAATGCCATTCTGTAAGTAGGTTTGTCAACTAAGCATCCCTTTTGTAGACTCCACATAGCTAGTATTGTTTGATATCTTTATCAAGCATTTTAGGACATTTAAGATTTTTCTTTTGCCAAATTTTAGGTAAAAATTAAACTTAAAGAAGTTAACATCTTAACCAGTAAAAAGAGGTGAGGTTATTGCTCATCAAAACAGGATCTATAGCTATAGTTTGTGGAAGTACCTAGAGTTAATTTGTTTTCATTCATATGATAAGAAATCACTCCAGTAGACACCACAAAGAATACTAATGTCCGCTTTCCTTGTTTGAAAGCATGTGAGTAAATTGATCAGAGCCTACAGATCCAAGGTCATGCCTATCACTGACTAACTGAGCCTAGATCCAACTGCTGATGATGTCATGATAGAGATGCTGTTTGTTACCTCATCTTCAACTAAACTACGCTGTATAGCTGTCCACGATGTATCTGGATATTGAGGTTTAGTTGTTGAACTACCAAAATCACACAATTTTATAGTTCCCTGGGCACTTATTAATAAATTCTCTACCTAAAATATATCAAAAAAAACTAAAATCAGAAGAAGTTTTACTTCCATCATTTGGCTCTTAATTTAGCTAAGGAAGGAAGAAAAGAAACATGATGTTATTTGAACAGCAGTATCTATTTGCCACCTCCACATCTGACTGGTGACAAATCAGACTGTATGACACATAGTCATGAAATCACCTCATCAGATCATATCAGTCCCTGTGGACCCTAAAAAACGCGTTTCTAAGAATTGCTAACATGTAGGCTATTGGTTGGTTGGTTGAATATTTACATAAACTAAAACAAGTGTTGCTCAACAATTTCATCAGATCATGGATGGTAACTGGAGTCTACTACAGTAAAAATAATTATCTAAATCTAATGTTTTCACCCCCTGGGGGTGTGGGACTAAGGTGTCAGGGGTGTTGCCAACTATGTTTTGAATTGGGAGAGCACCCTACATCATCACATGCTGAAAATGTGGATGAAACAAATTTTTGGGGGTGTGAAATGTCCAGGTGATTGCTCCAGAAATGAAAAGGCTGAGAAAGGTTGGGATCTAAATTATCTGACCTTCACCAATAATGTCAGAATTCAGCCAAAACAATTTCTCATTTCTGCAGACAAGGGCTGTAACTCTGTATCCTTTCAAATTTCAGAAAGCAGTCAATACTTACTTTTAAATCTCTATGTATAATAGGAGGTTTCTGTTTATGCATATGTTGTACAGCTCGACATGTTTGATGAAATACTAGTAAGATCTGATTACAAGCTAATTGTAACTCATTACGATTTAAATATGACACTAGCTCTCCACCTAGAAATATAACAATTTCATTTCATATTCACCTCCTTCCCTGCAGTGTACAATGTGGGAAAATTTCATCAGCTATTGTTTCCGATTTTAAATCAACAAGGGTTCTTTTATTTGCCTTTTCTTGCCCCAACCAATGACCCTTTTACATCAGGCATAGTTTATCTTTGAATATACTCAAACTCAAAAGCAGATTTCTGTACAAATTTGGAGAATATTCTAACACCATTTGCCTATATTTTAGGTTTAGATTTTGTGGATTACTTCAGTCATCCAACTTATTATTCTATCCAAACATTGATTTCAGATCTGGCCAACATGCTATACTTCTCAACAGCATCTTATTAGGTGCGAATAGACATTTTGTCTGGTGCAGAATATGGTGTGGGAATATCAATTATCAAAAATACAAAAACTGCAAAGTCGAGGTACAGGTCTGAACACAATTTGATTGTGGTAATTTTCAATATACCAGACACCATACCTGACAAATCAATTCTAATAAAGAAAGCTCTACTAACCAGGACAGAGTTCAGTAAGTATAAGATATTCAGACTGGCCGTGATCCGACTGGTCTTTATTAATAGCTGCTGCTGATATAAACTGAATGATATTTGGATGACCTGTTAATTTTTTCTAACAGTGAGTTAAAGAACTAATATACAACTAATTATGAAATTCAAATCAGAAGGAATTTTGAGAAGATTCATGTAGTTTAAAAAATGTATGCCCATCCAAAAAGAGCCCACACAGCATTTTGGGTACATTTAATTGAGATCAATGCCCATCTGCAATAAAATCTACATTTTGAACTGTATTGTAAGTAAGTCAGCAGGTTTTCTGAAGCCTGTAAGAAGCCTGTGTGCTGTCCTTGTTTGAAATCTAAGGACCTTTTCATGATCTTGGTTGATATTCCAAATTCCAATTCTTTGGACATCTCTAGCAACTTTTTAAGTGTACGGACATCAACAATTCTCCTGACTTTTGGTGGCAATGATATAATATAAGCATCAGCATCTCCAGGTGATCAAGTTCCAAAGGATCGAAATGTTTGAAAATTGACAGTCAGAGCTTTTAAATACCTAGATAAAGGATACTAAAAATCGAATTTCATTCATAACAGCATTGTTCTTCTCTTCGTCATTGGCTAATAGCCTCTAGAAATTACAAAAACATCAATCTTATACAACTACATTAATATATCATTGGACTAGACACTGATCTGGAGATCTTGTGGATCATTTTCCTATGACTATCTTTCAACATCTCCTTCTCATGTGATCTTCCTAATGAAGAACTAAAACTTTTGAGAGCAGCCAGCCATTAGTTTGACCATCATCCCTCATCTCATTTGGAAATGATCATCAGGACAGCTAGTATGTAATCCAAATAGGAGTTAACTCTCCAATATTGGAGATTCAGATGTATGATCATATTAAGTGAACTCACTTAATCAGGAGTAGGGAGTCAGCAAAGAGAATGTTCTATGGTACAATGACTCTTGCTTTTCAACTGATTGATCTCATGTTGCCATAACATGTTTCGGACATAGAATCCAGGACAGGACAGATTGTTTGAAATGGTGTAATTTTGAGCGACACAAGGATATAAAAAGTTGATATTGTTATGGCATACCTTTAATGCATATTCTTTACCACTGCTTACATCTTGGGCAATAAAAACAAAAGCAAATCCACCTGAAAGTAAAGTAAAGGATATTAGCTCACAATAATTCAAATCTCAATGTGCCACTACTTGTTAACGTGAAAAGTTGACCTTGTTCAAACATGTAATACAATAATTAACTGATATAGCTTGATTGATATAGCTTGATTGATATAGCTTGATTGATTATTACTGTTCTGAAGAAAATCAATCAATAATCATTCTGTTTAAGAATTTATACCTTCCATGCATTATTACACACACCTCCATTTCAAACTGATTTCACAGCTGTTGGCAAAATAGATTGAAGATTAAATTATGTGAGCTTATTCACCCCTGCCCAGTTACCAAAAATGTCTATGGGTTAAAGAGTTGACCCAAAGTAAGAAAATCTTGAAGTTATCTCAACCTATGAGATCCATAGCTATATTATCTCGATTTGTGGGCTTTTCAATTAGCCACATTTCAGAATTTACTTGCAATAAACTTGTTAGAGACGAAATAAATCATGAAAACCTTGATCAAATATGATAATACTGGAATGAAATTGATTGATTAATCGTTGATATAGAGAGAAATCAATCAATATTTATCTGTTTATAATTTGTCTATTTCATTGCTGACTACAAATATTGGCACTGACAATAGCGCTAACTAAACCAGCCTAGTGTGGTACAGAAAAAGTAAGCTAAACTTATGAAAATATCGGTACGGTAAGCTTATCCCACAATATTCTATGAATTTTCAAAATAGAGTCACTTTGAAAATTAGAATCATGTTTAAAAGGTAACACGACAAATTCAAAACTTTTCCAAAAATGGTAATACTGGTATACAATGGGGTCTATTATGTCAAAAAAACCTTGAAGCTTGAACAGCTAACAAGTCCCATGATTAGATATCTTTTACACACCAGCCCCTCTGACTGGTCTAAATGACAGAGGGAAAACATCTCAATTTAAGAATTCCTTTGAGTAGTACCAGTATGTTTGGATAGGATCCTGGACTGAAGCGTCATTGAATGCATCAAATTCACGGGGCCATCATTCACGATGACGGAAAGTCTTCCAAATTTTGCAAAAATCTCCACAACTTTATTGTATGGCCTTTTTCTGTGGATAAAGTTAAAACATATCTAGATATTTTAAGAAAAGTTCATTGCTTTCAGTTTAAATAAACATTGATCTTTAACTTGAACAAAACAACTCAACCAACAGTTTAATTTCAAACATTAATTATTTAAACGAGAAATAAAACAAAACCTATTGTCTCTTGCTACTGAAGCAGTACTTTCTAATTGTCTTGAAATACCCAATGTCCAATTAAAATAAGATTAAACAAAAGAGTTATGTAAAAAATATCAGTGAGTGGGTCACAGTTTTCTTTTAATTTACAATCTACAAAGTCTAAAACAGCCTTTGTGGTGGGAGTGGTTGAAACAACAACTTATAATTGAAATTACGAAAGCACAGGCTGTAAATTTAAATTTAAAATATCATACGTTCCTCTCAAAAAACAAAGTGTCCATTTATTGACCGTAGGGAAATCTTAGACCACATTCTCATTTACGGTTGTACAAACCTAGTCCCAAATTGGCAAAGAAAACCACTTTGAATTTCAGCTTGACCACAATTGATGTGATCATATGGGCCTTATATGTACTGGTACAGTAAAATAAATTCTATTTTGTCTGTTAATTCATAATATAGCCATCTTCAATATCCCACCTATTTAGTCTGTTAGCAATGTTGCTAGTGAAAATGAACCCACAAATTGGCCATAAATGTACTGATAATAAACATAACCTTGTTAATTATTGACTAAATTTCACACATTGTATTATATAGTACTTCATCATCGGCCCAAAACATGAAAAAAAACCTGCATAAGCACTCACTTGATAGAATTGTAGTTTAAAATACAAAACTATTTAACTGAAGGTCATCAAATTCAATCCAAAACAAGAGAAAATTCTTCACTATTTAAGTCTCTCCTCAGCTAAAATACTAGTTTCTATAACAAACCGCCTTATTATCCGTATAAAAATCAATATGGCAGCCGACTGACTGCTCTACACACACAGTCTTATCAATTGATTTAATATGGACTCTCTCCATCCTCCCAGTATTCCATGAATAGTTACTTCCATAAGAGTTTAAACATAAATTAACCTCTGGAGATTCCTTCATTAAAGGATGCCGACCACAAGTCATTCTATAAATCAATTCTTACATTGATAATTCTTATTGATTGAATCTTTTAATGAGCTTAAAGTTTACAAGCCACAGCACTTATTTCCAACTACTGGTCACAATTTTAAGAATTAAGTTTTCTTTCTACTTTTCTGCTTTTCATTCAGCTCATGAAGACCAAAAACACCATACATTGCTCAATGAGGTAAATTTTGCTATGACAGTTCTCCGAATTAATCAAAATGAATATAAATATTAATTTCAGAAAGTTATCCAGATAATCTATTTATCAAATTTATAAAATCCATGTAATTAGCTTTATTTCATTCTGCCATTTCTAAATTTACTTTTTTTTAAGTAAGACCTTGAAAAGTCATTATAATGCCATATACATAAAAGACTACAGCATAAACTAAGAGGTCAATAATTGAACATTTTCAAAGTACAGAGTAAAAAAAAAAACAGTAAAAATATTCCCTTCAATACCCAAATCAACCCTGAAGACGAACCTTAGCTTTTTCAATATGACATACCAAGTACCGGTACCATTAAAAGAGTCCTAATCAGTTCTAAATTTGTAGTTTAATAACTATGCTCAACAATACATGACCGTACATCAGTTTTTTTTAAATATCTAATACTTATTCCCATTGTTAACATAATAAAAAAAACAAAACAGAAGGAAATAAACTTATAAGCTTATATTATACACCCTAATTTACAAGATAGCTTGTTAGACAAGACAACATACACCAATAAATTGATGAAGTATAAACTCTGTTTTGTTTTCTCTCTTTAAATTTCCACTATCTCGCTGTATAGTATACCTCCAAATCAAAAATCAAACTGTGTGAATGCAAGATCATAATTGAATGAAGAAGCATCTTGAACTCTCAGTGGCGGGGCCAAGTCAATGTCTGAGAAAGGGGGGTGGGGTGCTTGGGGTGCTTGGGGAATATCTTAGATTGTCCAAAAATTTATAAGAATTCAGTCTGCAACATTTTTAAGTAACTGTTTGATTCATTTTTCTGTGTCGTGTTGTGTTCTATCATTGAAATCATACTAGAGGTGTCTGTAGGCTGGGTGATATTGGTTCAAGTTGATATCACAGTATCAAGCATTAATAAGCTTATATCATGATATGGGTATAAGCTTATATCATGATATGGGTATAAGCTTATATCGCAATATTTCTTAATGTCTGAGCAAAGTAAAAAGTTATTTGATTTTTATCCATTATTTAATGAGAATTGGAGTAGTAGCGTCAAAATAATACTGTCTTTGCATTGACCAAAATCAAAAATATTTGTAAATGTACGTATTGAAAAGATGGCGATATTTGGGTATTTTTTAATCAAACGATATTATTAACAATATAAATTCCTATACCAGTATTCATTGTGATTGTATATCACCCAGCAGCCCTGTGTCTGTAACAAGAAATTGAACACATTCCATCTTTGCAGATTCTTGTGAAAACAGACTGCTGACACTGCTCATATTATACATGCAGTAAACAATAACAAATTTTCAGGATGCTAGATATTAACCAACCCTTTTCAGACAGACATATCTCAGGATGCGAGATATTAACCAACCCTTTTAAGACGGACAGATGACCAAAAATAATTGCAAAGAGTGAGGCTTCAACAGTTTTAATCACATTATTAAGGAAGAAAATGGTGATATAATTCTTCTGTAAAAGCTCTTTCGAATTTACTGACAATCCACTTTGGCCACTGTATTGGCTGATTATTTGCTAACCATCTTAATTAGACAAATTGAAATTTGTAATATTAGAAATTATTTGTTGGGTGATAACAATCCAAGTGTGGAATGAAAAACATCCATGAAACCAATACACGCTCCCATTTCAGGACAGAGATTTGCCTGCTCTTTTTCGATTTCCAACTGTCAAGGGATCTATAATGTGCACAGCTTGTAGCACACAGTCGTAAGTTTACTAACATGGGGAAAACTTGGTTAATAAACGGGAAGCTATTATCTAAATTTTAGACTCACGCTGGAATTGTACCCTGGACCTTTAGGTTAACTGAATTGTTTAACTCACTGAGTCACTGTGTGGCCCTTGGGCGCATAAGTTATTTTCAACTCTTTTTAATCCCTGTTCTTCCCAGGGGTTTTTCTTTACATTGCTGTAAACAATCTTCAAAAGTCACTTTGGTAGAGCATGACTGTTAATCTCAGTGCTACAGGATTGAGTCCCACGATGGGCAATGTTATTTCAACCAAGGCCTAATCAATCACCACTAATAAATAATAGGTAAAATATCAATGCTAGCCGATAAAAATCAACTTGACATTACCGATACCGGTATATCACAAAATAATCATTAGGGAACTGCCTCATATACTATGACATTAATACCTACAATTTGCACTGGACCAAAGTTACAGGGGTAGATCAGATGAATATGTTTTTAACTGGAAAGGAAGTGGGTGGATAAAACTTGTGGTTTTGATTGAAAAATTTACCTTCGGCAATGACTTTTTTAACACGAAGTTTCTGGTTTCCCAACTCCACCAATTGACCTACGAAGTCATTATCTTCTTTGTTCTGCCCCCCACTCAAATATCCAAAAGCTGACTTGAAAAAATCGGCCATGACCGATAAATCAATTAAATAATTTAATAAAATGTCTCTAAATTTTTTGACATTACTTGCTGGCGGAGCAGACTGACGTCATTTTACCACTATTAGGTCTATTGCAAATTACGACAATCGCAATCCACATTAATCTTATTTTCTTATTTCATTAATTCTTGTTCATCACAATTGTATTTCTTTATTATTTTTTCAATCACTTTACAATTCATTTTTCACTGTACAATTTTGATTGATCAGAAATTTTCTTTATACTTTTTCCAACAACTCGACTGCAGGTGCGTGTTTTTATGGAGTGAATATACAGCAAAAATATACTATATCGGTGTCTGTAATGTAGTCGGTGTCTGTACTTGCCGCTACAAAAATGGAGCCCATAGCACCATAATTTACCGCATTCTCTGAAAATAATATCTCTAGAAAAGATCAAAATAAATCAACAGTAATCGTGTAGTTTATTTGTGGTCATAATTCCGAAATTTATTCCCATTAGTTTTTTTATGAAATGGTTGTCCATAAAATACAAGTTGTCTTCATTCGTCCAATGAAATCTTGACAGTTTTACAACACATTACAAGACAAGAGTGTCTTACGCTAGAATCTTAAAAAGATGACGGAAAAAGCAATTATATTGGCGTTGTGTTTGCTGTACTATTTTGTCCCCGATGCCCATTGTGGCATCGATCGACCACGGGGTGTACCAGCATCCAGTAAGTGTATCATTTCAACATTATTGACATGACCGACGTTGACGTTGAGCCGGTGCCATGTTAAGTGGGTGTCTGTAAATCACCGACCTACATCCAATATATTTAGTTAGTGAAAGCATTGAACCTCAATGAAGGAATTATAACTTTGTTTTGGCGGCTACCTTGATGTTAGATTCAAGATCAATATCCGAATACAGTCGAATGGACATGCTTGCAAGTTGGTTTGAAATTTGTCTAGTCAAGACTACAATAGACAGGGTATTGTTACAGTAATACTGCTGTTACATTTCAGAGGCATCATATTATAAACCTGGAGAAACATTTAAATGTATAACTGACGGTAAAACTATACCATTTGAGTATATTAATGATGATTATTGTGATTGTGATGATGGCTCAGATGAACCGGGTAAGTTAAATTGTAATAGGCTAAAGTTATAGGCCTATCATCTTCACAATGGTCAAGGTATTATGTCTGCATTTGATACCTTGATTGCGCTGGCCCACTTTGTTGTTTCACAGAAGTTTGTGAATGCAGTAATCTGATTGGATTGTACGCTAGCAAATGCAGTTAACCAGATTCCTCTACAGAAAGAAAAATGGAGGGCTCTCTTTTGTGCTTGAGCTCTATCAGTTACGTCTATCCTTATTTCCCATCAAGATATCCTTAGCCACTATTTGATTTATTTCAATTACTTCTTGAACTGTTGAAAATGCTCGTCCAAAATTTTTGTATTTAGAATTTTATGACAAATTTTATGACCTTATTTGTCCAAAATGTTGTATTCACATTCTTTTTTACATCTCAATCATGTGACCATAAGAATCTGTTTTAATCCGTAACATAATATGGCCTCCAAAAATATTTTGAACTAAGCTTTGTTGGCGATCTGTGTTTTATACACTATGTTCATAATAATAATGTTAATAATGTTACTATATATAGGAACGTCTGCCTGTCCTATGATGATGTTTTATTGTGAAAACAAGGGACATAAACCAGAGTATATTTTATCATCTAGATATAATGATGGTATATGTGGTGAGTAATTTGAAAATTTTCCTTGATTTCTTATTAATAAGGTCAATCTTCAATCTTTTAGCTGACTTTAAGCTCATGAGCTATAAGTGGACAAACAAGGATTTACCTAATTATGAGTAAACTCTTAATACAAACCAAACCAGTTTTATTTTAAAAAAAAATGACCATTTGGTTAACATGTTACTTATGATAACAGAACTTAATTTTTCAAATCACAACATGTCATCTTAATTTTAGATTGCTGTGATGGTTCTGATGAATTCGGAGGTGAAAAAATTCAATGTCAAAACTTTTGCGAGTAAGTATGACGAATTTGATTATTTTTAAGAATGGTTTTGAACCATATTTATCTTAATTGATTGATGCCCAATTTTGCTTGGGAATGTTGTTCTTTGAGAACCCATTCATTGCAATATCCAATCTTTCTTGTGTGATATTGTAGAGAAATTGGGCGTAAAGATAGAGAAGATAGAGAAAGATTAATACTATTACAAACAGAGGGTTTTAAAGTCAAATTAAGTTATATACAACTAGGTCAGAGCCTGCAACAGGAGAAAAAGGTATCCATTTATGTCATCTGTCAATCATATAGCCCCTCTCACAATCATTAGATTTTTCTATCTGTAATGACCCCCCACAATCATTAGATTTTCCTATCTGTAATGACCCTCCCACAATCATTAGATTTTCCTATCTGTAATGACCCTCCCACAATCATTAGATTTTCCTATCTGTCCCACAATGATTAGATTATCCCATCTGTTATTCCCTCCCACTATAGATTGTACTGAAATAATTTTTTGGCTTTGTCATTTCAGGCAAGACTAACTGAGATTGCAAGTGAAAAAGACACATATGAAAAATTAAAAACAGATTTAGAAGGCAAGTTGACTATTTGTTTTTTTATATTATTGAATTTCATTAAATAAGAATTATCATTAAAATTTTCCAAATTTGTTTGTGTTTATTTTATTACAAAGTTACTAAGCCGAAATACCAAATTGGTGCTTTAGCAAATTCCCATTTCCATTGATTATAGTTTACCTCATTGCTCACTGCTCTTAAAATACAACAAAATAGATATTTTGTGCTTTCTTTTTGAAACTTAAATCGAGGTACATAAATATTTTTGTAAAAGACCAATAACATCACATCATCTGATTTTTCAGTTGTGTTATATTTCAGCCAAGAAAAATGAAGCTGAAGCTCCTGAGAAAGAAGCTAAAGAAAAACATGAAAAAGCCTGGGAAGGTAAAGTGTAATTTACTAGATATTCTCTTTTTAATTATCTATACATACAGACAAGCGTATCATAAACAAGATCATTGAATAATCTCAAAAATGCAGTTTTTGTTCACACTTTGAAGTCATGATAGGTTTTCATAAAAATTGATAATCTTTGTTCTATGAACATAATGTAAAACGGTTTTTCCAAATGATTTCACAATAAAGTTTCTAAATTTGATAAATTTGTAGCTGTCAGATGTTGTGTAAAATTCAAATGATTTATATCATTGTAAATCTTACAAATGATTATTATCAAAACAATATAATTATATTTATTTCACAGAAGAAAAAGAGAAAAAGAAGGCAGTTAAGGAAAGAGAAACAGCTCTAATGGCTTTTGATGAAATTGATGCTAATGATGATCAACAGTAGGTCTTAATTCTTTTATGGAATGAATATTTTTTGAACAATCATTAGTTTTATCTGGAATTCTGTTCCATAGATCTGATACCTGGCCACGTATTCTCAAAACGATCTTAACATTAGGATATCCTAGATTCAATGTTAGAAGATAAGAACCTAGGACATCCTAGCGCTAAGATCGTGTCGAGAATACCTGGCGTGATCAGTCCACAGTTGATGAATATATACTCTTATTTGTTCAGTTTGAGACATTAGATTTTATATTCATTCTAAGAGGTAATAATCCTTTGAAGAAAAAGAATCAACTATATTTTATAAGGATAAAAACTTAGGTTCACAATGAAGGATCGTTGCTACCAGCTGGTCCTTGGCCAAACCTCTTGGCATTGATCCCGGATCATGGGTACCTATTTACAGCTAGGTTGACTGGAAAGGTAACTAAAGTACAATGTATGTCATTTAAGTCACTTTATAATAATTACAGTGTTGAAATTCACGAAATGTTGTTACATCCAGAGTTTGATATAGATTCTGATGGTACAGTTAGTCATGATGAAGCTAAGGTGAGTTAGTCAGATTTCATTAGATAAACTGGCGGAAGTTAAAACATTGTATCAAAAGTAAAAGTTACATATTAGAAGCTGTAGTGGGTTTAACATTCAGAATACATATACATCCTTAAATTTCAAGTTTGAAATTAAGTAAGAAGCTTGCTTGCTAACACGAAGTTAGGTTGAATCCCAGCATGGGTAAAAAAAATGGTTAAAAAGGGTAGGCTTATACCAGCTGTTGATTTGGCTCTTTGACCGACAGAGCAGCTCAAATGACCTCTATCAGAGCCTTATACAGCTGTCCCCGAATTATTTTACTCATTGTACATTGCATGCCACTTTTAATCAGCCCAATCTGGATTATTTCCCAGGACCCTAGGATTTAAAAGTGCTTCTATGGTTTAATTCAATGAACACATTCAACAAACAGAACAAAATTCCAGCAAGATTTCATTATATATTTGCAGGAATATCTAGAAGAGTTGGAAAGAGCTGGTCAAGATGAATTCTTAGAAAAGATCTGGCCAAATATAAAAGAGATATTTAAAAGTAAAAAGTTTAGTGATGATGTGAAAGAAGTGGAAACTACTGAGAGTACAACAGAACAGAAAGAACCTGAGGTAAGTCCTGAGTTTGGCCAAATATTATGAGACAAATATATATGTAGTCATCTAATTAAATGCTTTGCTAGTTGATGGAAATGAACTTAAGTTAACTGTTTCGCTTCTCAAATGGAAATTTGAACCAAAAATGTCCTGAATTTTGGCTGAAAATTGTTCTCTCAGAGTAAAAGAACCAAATTCTTCTAATATTTTGAAGCTGAACAACCAAATAAAAGAAATAGGTCGTTAAATTTATTAACCAGGGGATAGGCAATGTTTGGTTTTCAGTTGTAAAAATTACACTGATAGTAAACTAACGATGATGTTCTTGAAATTTTAAATTCTTTAGTACTAAAAACCTGGATTTGAATACAAACATAGTTCATGATAACTGCTTATTTTAATAGTGATACTGAAGCTTATATTCTTATATCTCATCCTCTCTTCATCATCTCAACTCCTACTGGCTGCTTTTGTTGAAGGTGCTTAAAGGGATTGTTTTAAAGGTATTCTTAACGTTTTATGTACATCAGGGACACGGTAAGCATCAATTTGCACCATTCCATGTTTCAGTCCGACTTCTGTGGTTCTGACAATCCATCCAGAACAAAGCATTTTATGACATCACTATCGCAAAACCCGCTATAATCTAAGGACCTTAGGTGACATCATAAAAAGCATAATTTTACTGGAATTGTAAGAACCACAGACTTCTGACAGAAAATTGGAATAGTGTAAATTGATGCTATCACTGTCCCTGATTCACATAATTCTTTTAGAAAACCTCCATTTAATACAGCAAAGATAGTGCACATGTATAATGAACTCCCCTTCTTTCCGTCGAGTAAATCTGATCAAATCTCGTCACCCTGAACTTGTTTTTTTCCTTAAAAGAAACAACATGAAACATATGCTCCTGGTGTTTATAATCTGGTCAAATTATTCTGGAATTCATGAAACTCATTTCTCTTCTAACATTCCATGACATCTACTTGACATTACTTGGCATTCAGCTGTAATAGCAGTAGTTCATAAAAACTTGACATTGTGAAGAAAGTCAACACACCCTGAAGTACCGTATATGATGGCTTCAGATCTAAAAAAGTCGTTTTATGTGCTCTCGCTTCTTAATAAATTTTGCTTTTTCGTTCTTCCATGTGAGATTTTAAGATTTTGTTGCTTAGAAGGTCTGGAAAGTTGTTTGTGCAACAGCCATTTTGACAATTTTTAAGCTTTAATTTTGTGCTGTTGAAGTATATTCTTTTTTTCGGTTGTAATCATTGCTTACTTTGGTGTCTAAGTTTTGCATTTTTTGTCTTATTTGTTTGCTGCCTGTTTTGTCCGGTTTGTATATTTTGTCACCTTTCACTTCTGTATTTATCAGAAAACTATGATCTTTGGCGAAGGGAAACCTAGTTCTTCATTTTTTAAGATAAAAAATGTAAGTTTAGAGTTATCACCCTTTAAAAGACTTGTCAGAACAGTTTTACCTTTATAGTCAATAGTAGGCCCTATTTTTATTGATTTGATTTATGGTACAGGTTTATTGTCATTCCTATTTTTTTCAAAAACTTATTGCCCTAAATATAAAATAGGATTTTATTGGTTTTCATTAGTAGTTAAGTACTATTTTATTTGTTACATTTTCCCATTACTTATTGTGCTATTAAAGGGGGAGTATGTGTTAGTTTTTCAAGAATTATGTCTCCCCTTGGACATCCATTTATAAATTTTTGTAAACATTGTAAAGTCTCACTTTGGTTTTATAAAGGGAGTAATTATTGTTTAATCAACTTGATAGGCCCAACTTTAAAAAAAAATAACAATTTTTTTTCAGAATTTTGATTAAAACATGCAGTTTTAACTCTGTTTTTACACTAGTACTAGTACACTAGTAAAAATATGCCAAATAAGTTGGTACATACTCTCACTTTAACAGAAACATTGTTCAGTTTTTAACAGACCTGTCTAGTGTCATAGGGTATTGTTCGATACTCATTAAGTGTTAAAAAGGATTGGAAGGAGGTTTCTACATCTGAGAGAGACAGTAAAGGGTGATAATGAAACAAGTTCTCAAAAGTTTTGTAACCATTTGTCCGTCTATGTTGTAAATTTGTAATTGATTCGCATTTAATCACATTTGAGAGTAATACTAGATCTTATTGTATGGAAGGCAATTTGCTGGTGTAATTTCAAATGTAAATTCAACCAATCATATATTTCCTCTGAAAGCATTCTAAAAAAAATAAAAGTACTTAGCTCTTTTTGAAATTACAGTTGTATGACCAGTAATATTTCAATTGGTATTTCCAATCATAATGAAAGTGACATTTTGTTACCACACTCCAAACTTTGTGTCGTTTGTTTTGAAAGAGAAGTGCTGTTCAGACAATCTTACAAATAACAAGCTTTAAGAAAATTTTATTTTCACAATTTGTGAAATCACAGTGGTTGGAAAATATAAATCGTTTTCTACCCTTTTCCGAACAAAACCAAATCTTCGATCAAACAAAATGTAAATCCCTGAAAAAAGTTGACAGGTCTGATTTCCCCGCCTTCCCTCAATTTGTAGGTAAAACCTCAACCAAAAAGGGATAATTGGGCAAAACATGAGTATGGGGATGATGATGATGAGGATGAGGAAGAGGATGATGAGGAACTTGAGGATGAGGACTATGATGTGAGTTATCAATGGAATCAATTTTTGGTTTTAAATGATGCTCAAATTTTTAGACATTCTCTGCGGATTAGTCTCTTTGGATTTTGATATATGTTCATTTTTGTTGACTAGATGTTATTTGCATGTTTTAAAGCAGGAACCCATATAAAAGCCCTTCATTAAGATGAAAGATATCCATTTTCTTTTTCTTGGCTCTTTCTTTTGATCATTCTTTGGATAAATCATGCTCATTAATTCATTACATCAAATCATGATTCATACCCTCATTATTTTGTTTTCCTCTCTGATGAAAATACAGATCTAGAAATACTTACCAGTCTTGATCTGTAGAAATTTTTCATTAAATCAGGTTCAATTTTGATATTGTTCTGTATTAAGTTGACAATACAGAATTCCAAAATTCCTCACATGTGTTTGGACAAAGGTTTTGTTGAAGGAAACTTTTGATTGGTTGGGTTCTTAGTAACTTTGAACTCCAGATGAAGAAAAATGTCCTCAGATCACTAACATTAAATGTTGTAAACAATAGAAAAAGAGTGAACCAAAGCACTAGATAATATGCATTTGATCAGATTAGTATTTTATTATTGGATTGGAAAAAGTTTTATTGGCCTTTGGAAGAGCATTTTGTAGCTTCTATTGTCAACATTCCGATCTTTTACTCTGCAAATAGAAACTAAGATGTTCTTTAAAAAGGCTCAATAATCTCTTTGCAATCCATTTTACTGAGCATATTCTGTTACTAACTGAGGTATATTAGTGGTACGCATGGTATCCTAGCTTGGTATTAGGGGGTGAGAGCCACAGCACTGGCACAGGCATTAGAATTTTTAAAACCTTGAGGAGGATTCGTGTCCACAGCACCTAATCGCCTAGCAGATGACAATCCAACTTGCCACCGACTGAGCATGGTTATAAGGGTTGGAAATATTTTTATATTTTGACTGGTGTTTCTATAGATGAGTATCTTGGTATGTTTGAGCCAAATCATCTACAGGTTGTTTGTAATTCGATTGCAGAATGAATGAAGTTACCCACAGAAAAAATGATACATATAATCTAGACCAGTATTTTATATAGGGGATTGTTGAGATGTTTTCTAAACATTTTATTTGTATTAGGGACACGGATAGCATCAATTTGCACCTTACCAATTTTCAATCAGAGGTTGTTATTACAATTCCAATGACTAAGCCTTTGATGACGTCACAATCGATAATGTCCTTAGATATCAGTTTTGTGGCATTGCTGAAACAGAAAATTGGAATGGTGCAAATAGATGCTTTCTTGATGGAGATAAAAAGTGAAGAAAACTTCTTTAACATCGCTATAAGATTGATAATTAGCACAAGGTTTTGAACAATCTAATTAATTCTTGACAGATATCTCTTCTGCCTGTACAAAGGTTATTTTGAATTCCAGGCAACAACGCCACCACCACCAGTGGAAGAAGTTCCAGAAGATAAGATGCCAGATTATGATGAAGAAACTCAGAAATTAATTGATGGTATATAATTCCTATTTTGTTATACTTGCATGAATAACAGCAAAGATTTTAAAGCATCCTTTCCAGCAAAAAGTCCTTGACCAAATCAATATTTACTTATTATTATTATTATGGTGATTATAATCATTATTATTTTAATCATTATTGTCATTCTCATCATTCATCATCCTAATTATTATTATTATCATCATCATTATATTATAAATATTATTATCATCATTATTATTATTGATGTTATTATGATCATCTTTATTATTATTATATATTATTATCATTATTATTATTATTATTATTGATGTTATTATTATCATTAATATTATTATTATTATTATCATCATTATTATTATTATCATCATTATTATTATTATCATTATTATTATCATCATATTATTATAGCTGCCGAACAAGCAAGAAATGAATTTAATGATGCAGATAGGAAAGTAAAGGACACAGAAAATGAAATTAAGTAAGTGGCTGCAGAATTAAGGTTTTGTATTAATCACATTTTTATCATGAAGCTGTAACCCTTAAATGTATATAATGATTAATTTGTAATCAAGTTATACTGTGTTGTAAATGTGTTTAGGATATTAAATCAATCATCAGGACAGATGGTTTGGGAATGGGGGTTAGATTTCCAATAGTAAGAAAACTGGAGGAAGAAATCATTGATAAGAATATTCTCAAAACTCTGCAAATAAGTCAATTGGGGCATAAGTGTTATTTCATTTTTTTTTTTTTTTTTGAAAAAGATATAGATTTTGGCCCTGAACATGTTAGGATGAAAAATAAACCTTTTTCCATCTACATTTTTCAGTACTGTACGACAATATTTAGATATAGATTTTGGTCCAGAGTTTGAATATGGTAGTCTAAAAGGGCAATGTTTTGAAATGACAGATAGAGAATATACTTATAAATTATGTCCCTTTGATAAAGCTTCACAAAGACCTAAAAATGGTGGTTCAGAAACAAGTTTAGGGTAAGCATTCTTTTGTATTGGGTTCATCGCCATTTCCAGGGGTTGATTCTGGTCATGGATATATGCAAAAAGTCTTCAGAAGTACTGGAAATGTTAGACAATTGTATAATCCCTTCATAAATACTAGGAATTTTACTCACTATTTCTATTATAAATGTAGGAACTGGGGTCACTGGTCTGGTAGTGAAGCAGATAAATATTCAGCTATGAAATATGAAAAGGGTCAAAATTGTTGGAGTGGACCTGATAGATCTGTTGAGGTAAGATTAATCATGCTTTAGATTTTTTGAGAAATATTTCCAAAGAGGTTATCTCCCTTTTGTTATGTTGTAGTTCCAAAAATAACAAAAAATCCTGAACACAGTTAAGAAAATTCTTCTGGTGGACCAAATTGCTTCTGTGGTCACAATCTTCAAGCTCAATATATTCCAGAAACGGTGATTGACATTGTTAACCTGTGTTCTCTTTGGATCACAGGTGGCTGAGCAAATTAGACTAAGATTCTTTGCTTACTTTAAGATTAACAGTCCAGTCCATTTGCCATCTGTTTCCATGTTAATTCTCAAAATTCAACTTTCTATAACTTTTTCTCGAAATCTCGTTGAAAATTGTCCAATATGTAACATGAAAGCCTGACCAATGCTTAGTTTCTGACCAAAATTCAATATATCATGACCATCTTGAACTAGCCAAACTGAAAGTAGACCTAAACATTTTGACTGTCACTGTACACAAAACTACTATTTTTAGAATTATCCTTTCGCAAATTCCAAATCTATTCCAAAAAATTTGTCAACCCCCCACTAAAGGGAGGGAGAAAGAGGATTTCAAAAATATCACAGACTTCATTTGTCTACAATCACATGAAATTAATTAGAGCGGGTCCAGATCTCTGGATTTTGATCATGTAGTTTCCTTATTGTACACAGCCATTTTTAAATTGTCCTTGACATGCAAATGATCTCTGAGGGGTTTTCCTGTAAAACTAGGCAAATTTCTTTCTTTCTTAGGTTATCTTACAATGTGGTACAGAAAATTTATTACTATCAGCATCAGAACCTAGTCGGTGTGAATATAGATTTGATTTTGCTACACCAGCAAGATGTATAGATCCTGCTACATTACAACCTTCACCTAAAGACACACATGATGAACTGTAGATTCTCATTTTTTAAAAATAAAAAATATTTTGAAAATTACATTTTATCATCATCGTTCATTGATTTCCAAATTGCAAATGTCTGCAGCTTTCTCCCGCCCCAAGACCTATTTTCATTTTCATGTGTGTATATCAATTACTATGAGTACATGACTAATTTTGTAGATCCAAAATTTTACACGCCAAAAATATTTAAAAACAATACGAAAGGTTTTTAAGTTCTTTATGCGTTTTGGAAGCTGTTTGAAAACTACTATACGGATTTGAGTAAAATAAACGCCTAGCTGTAGAGCAATATGTCTCGTATGTATACTAAAAGTTTCAACTAACGTCTGGTCATGAGTTTCTATTTTGCATACTCTTCGTCAGTAGTATCAGAGATCGAATCAAAAAATCTTCTCGGAATGGAAAACAGAATAATATCTGATCAATAATACATGGTCTCTTACAGACGTCTGAAACTATTAAATATCCGACCAATCTAAAGATAAATAGGTTTAAACAACGATAAAATCGACAGTACTTGCGTATGTTATTTTGGCTGCCAACCTATCTTTTTAGAAACTCTTATAAAACATGTGCACTCGTTAAGTTTTATAGACCTATATTTTAATAAAGCTAATATAAATTATAATTTTCATTTTCTATTAGAAACCTGTTTAAAACATACAGAACCGGTTTCAAAATATTTTTATTTTCTCTTGAATTTTACCTCCGCACCTGTGCTTGATATATTTTTTTTTTATAATAATCAGGGGTTATGAATGAAGATATTTACGTTGGTCCATCCACTCATATTAACCTAATAATGTCCACTGAAGTGACATAAACGCGTCAAGGGCAATAACTCAAAATCCCTCGTCGTCCGAGATAGGCCTATCATTGCGTCCAGAAGCATCGACAAGAAATGTTTATCGAGTAGTGGCTTGAAACGGATTATAAAAGGCTGTTTTCTCTTTTCGCTTTTTGTGGGTTTTAAAAGATTTTCTCTCAGAATTTTGAGACTTAAACATCGATTTAATTGTAATTGATGAAAATCCTTACGGAAAGCTGTCTAATCTTGGAGTCTCTTTTGAACAACTGCAGACGAACTTGTCAAAATAGTGTGGTAAAAGATTTGCAATATTTGAAGCCATTGCGTAAAGTCGATTACTCTATGATGTTGTAAAATTCTGATTAACAACATTTCCTGTTGTCAACAATCGACATAGTAGTTTTCATAATGATGCTTTTGTTCAATGTACAAAAAACATTTATTTGCCAAGTCAGATTCGAGTGGCGAGGTGACAGTTTTTACATGACGTTGCCATAATGATACAAGATCTCGTTTCGTCTTCATAAGTTGACTATGTAGAATTGTATTCCGGACTGGTCATGAGTCATGAGTGATAATAAACGAACGCTTTGCCTCAATATCTGGCTCGTCCGAACAAAACTTTTTAAAAACATCTCCGCCATGTGCATCACTGACAGTGGAATGAAAATTGGAGCTATCATATCGACGAATGCAAGGATCAGAGACTGAACCTTCAGATAACGCCCTCTCAAGATGTTTTTTTTATTTATAATATAGACCCATTTCGTCTGGATTTGTATAAACAGACCAGCCACCTTACAATATTATAGCATACTTTTAAACAAAAAGTAGGCTATGGGGGACGGGGGGCTACAGTAGGATCAAAATATCAACGAAAAATTCAAGTGAAATCATTCCAGGTCTTGGAAACCAGTTTGATTTCATTCTATTGCAAACCTAATTAATTGAAATATGACTGAAATAATTATCAATTCGTGTGAATAGCTAAACCAAATCAATATAGTTTTTCAAATGTTATCAAAACTCGGTTAAAATTGGCAATTATTTGCATCTGTTTTAAATTCAGTTGCTAGATCTTAAAGGGACTTTCCGCTTAAGTTTTAATGAAAAAAAATCCAGGCGTGAATCTTTAAACGCAAAAAATATTTAAAAACAATACGTAAGGTTTTTAAGTTCGTTTTGCTTTTTGGAAGTTGTGAGAAAACTAGTGTAAGGGTTTGAGTAAGATCTTTAGAAATATTTTTAGGCATAATTTACGAAATTTTCGATATGAAAACTTTTTACAAAAAAGCGAAACAGCATACTTCTTTATCTTTAAACAGCATTTAGTTTCGATTGTGCATTTAGTCTGTATCATGCTCGTAATGTAAATCTGCGTTCACAAGTAGATAGACCACACAAATACAAGATCGAAAAGGGCACTTAAGGTGTAGAAGTTGATCTTGGGTCATTTGTAACATCATTATCCTCAGTATGTCTGTATTAACAATCTTGTTAAAATTAACAACATAGTTGTTGTGAAAGGTCAAGAGATTATTTGAAACATTAAAACTCGTTGTTCATAATATTGTTAACTTAAAAAGATTACAAGTAATGGAACACGAGTACTGAACTTTTTAACAAGTTACAAACAGAAAATATGACATTTTCACTGCAGATGCAGTCGTGTTTTCTCTTAATTACATGGTTGTAGATGGGTTTTGGTTAGCTCCTTCTGTGCGCAGAGTTATCAATTTTATTCATATTGTGAATTCTATTTAGTTTTTCACCATAACGTTCGACATTATTTTATCTCTCGCTATGAGCTATGAAATAAATATTTCAAAATATGCTTCAGCGCACCTTCTCATTTAACCACAGTCCTCAATACTTACAAATGTCTTCTGCAGACTGCGCGAAAGGGTCTTATCTTGAAAGAAAAAAAAGGGTACTTCTTTGAGACAGGTACCTGATTGACGAGCAAAGTCGCAAATTGACCTCTGTGTTCACAAACCTACCATGATATAAATGGATCAGAAGTGTAATCGGAAAGAGTAAGCGCTGAGTATTCATTTCAGAGAGTCTATCGAGCTTGATATAAATCATATTCACTTTTTTACCACCTTGGCTGATGGCGTTAAATTGCCTTTACGGGTTACATTGATAATCACAATTACCAAATAATTCATAACGCTCAATTAGTTTGTTGATATTGGATTTTACTGGTCAAAGGCATGGTAGTATGCTGTTAGCATGATTAACCCTTTCAGAAACACATTTTAGAGTTGCCAAGCATGGCGCCATTGATAACAGGTTATGTATTGGTACATCTTTGTATGATAAAAGATCAAAAGAAGCCGCCTCATAAAAGGGTGCGAAGATGAATGCATCCCAAGTATTTTCAAGTCTGTTACTAACAATACTACAACTAACAAGAAAAGTGCTAGAGTCAATAAGGTTTTTGTTGACCATTTCGCAAGAAATACAATACACCCGAACACCTACTTTAATTTGTCTCAAAAGACCTTCTTCATCAAGAGCTTTGTTTGTTTTTGTATACCTTAAAGAATAGGTTTATTTTCCCGCCAAGATTCATATACTATGACGAATTAGCGTCCACCTTCTCATTTAACCCTAGCCTATTTCGTAAGAAAGATTGGACGAACTTCTTTGGGTTTGTCACAAGATCCTCACTGCTTTGGTGGTTTGCAGATAAAATTGTTTCGCAAAATCTTTACAGGCCCTGGTTCCCAAACTGGGGTAACAGTGAGCAGCTTGAAATTTGTTTATGTCGGGCAAATAATTCATGGAAATTTCCTGCTTATGGTGGACAAGTTCAAAAGGTTTGGATCCAGGGTTTAAGGGAACATATTTTTATATTTTCTATGTTATTGCTGCATTATCTGATACCTTGAAGCAGAAATAAAAAATAAATCAGAGAAAAATCGCACCAAACAGCGACAGAAGGCCAATGAAATAGTCTATTGTTTGTCGTGTTTTCGTAGAAGACTGTCAAAATCAATGCATTGATTCCACTAATCCCTGCATTAATCTGCCATAAACCGATAAAGATTAACCCGCAATCAACACTCCTATGGATTAGTAGGTATTATCTAGAAGGGGTGGTCTTGGCCGAAGTCAATAACATTTTAACACAATAGCTACTAACGACTTTATTAACGAATTTTTCACAATTTGTAAGGTACAATCGTCAACTTTTAGAAGACAATTACAGATCTGTATCACCAACGCACCATGTGTCCAAGTGTCAATTTTACATACACACGACAATGGAATTTCTTTAAGTCATGAATTTGACCCCCTACTAGAGTTGAAACGAAAATCTGAGTTGCATGCGTTGCTACTAATTATCGAGTCCAAATACAATGCATATCAAATTATGAATTACTGTGCTCGACACCAATGCGTTTTTCTGTGGTGCCTCATTCTCGCAATTTTCTCAAGGCATCATTTATCTGTGAGGTTTCGACTTGGATGTGACAATGGAATTCAAGTTGAAAAATCAAGTCGCACATATTTATTGGGTGTTCACGAATTTTGAGCATATGTCGCAGATCCAATGTGATTGATTTGTAGACCAAAGTTTCATTTCGTGTTTTTGTTTTTTTTTTTGTTTTTGATTTGTCATTCTCAAAAGCACAAAACGAAACATCTGAATCTCAATTTGAATCTTATCTTATAACAAATTCAAGGGGGCTCTAAATTCCACATGGTGCTTGATCTATGTATCATCATTAGGTATAATTATACCCTATCTGAGACGTAAATGATCGTTTGTGTTATAAAAAAAATGTAAAAGAACAACACCGTTTTTGTTCTTACTGTCCGCCTCTCTTTGTCATGGCTGGATGATATAAGTGAAATGATATCCAAACTGAACATAGAAGGTCGTGGGTTATCCATATTCATTTCCGTCTACATTCCATCCTTATCTACACTATATACCACAATAAGACGTGGTTTTTACCGAAATAACGTCGTGGATTGGAGAATCTGACACCACGTGATTTTCACAAGACGAGCGCAATATTGCTATTTGACTAGCACATGCATTTAATGGTCGTGGTAGGCCAATTAACAAAGAATATAGAATTGTACGAAAGACATTCAAGTTATAAATGTAATACATAAACAACGTCATCAGATCGTGAATGTGATCGATGTGATCAGATCATGCTCTTCATGATCATGATGGAAATCTAATCTAGTCATGCCTTCTAGTTCTAAAA